TGGTTCGCTCCGAGAACTCCGTGCTTTCAGTTATTCCTTCCCGTTGCAAACGGTTAAGTTCTTCTTCAACTTTTGGACGCACCAAATAGGGCAGTGACCGAGCCTTCAGGAATCGTGGTTGTGTTCCGGGTGGAACGTATATATCAACCTTTCCCCCGAAAAACTTGCCAGTTTTCGGCTCAGAAAATACTTCTTCATAGTTGCGGATTGAACCTCCGCAGATTGAACCTCCGGGAGTGTTGAGACTTAGTTTAGTGTAAGTATACGTAGTTGTTGAAGCCAGTCATGTCCCAACAGGTTTGGACCACTTCCTTCAGCAATACATATGGTTTCGTTCACCGTCACACCCTTATATGAAACATTCACATTTTCCGTCCCAAGCTGCTTCACCCACTCTCCTGTATATGTTTAAACCCGAACTGGGGTTTGCTGAAATTTACCTTTCACGGTCGGTCCCAGGTTGACATGCCATGATTTTTCACTGCGTAATGTCACGGCACTACCCTATAAAAACAATCGGCGCACTGTCCACCTGCAGTTCTACTTGATACGGCGGTTGAACGCGGTTGGTAGGAGCAAAAGAACGAAGGACGTATTCTGGGACTTTTGACCTCATAACTTGATTCGTGACAGCAGCGTTAGTTTCGAATGCTGGTGCTGCGTGCCATACTCACAGTTTGTGTATGTCGGTAATCCTTCAGATGATTGTGACGGCCTCAACAACGACAACACCAAAACTGTGTTCCGTTCGACGGTTGCTCTAATCGATTCAACTTATACGATGAATTCACCGGCTTGGATGTCACAGTAGGTTACACAAACTGTTAAAAGAATGCGTTATTTTCTGCTGCTTCAAACGCCACCGCAGTATCTTAGGCCGTTTCCAATGATCTTCTCCCGAACGAGTCTTCCTAGAGATTCGTTGCCTCCACTCATTCGTCGGTCAAATCCAAGCAAATGTTACAAAGTGGCCCCACGAATTCCGCAACAGAATTCCCTTTTTCAGTTGACGCGAAGCGAAATTCTACGAACAACACATACCACTCGCGTGCCTCCCGATCAGTAGTATCACCGTTACACCCGTATCCAGCTCAAAAACCATTGGCGCACTGTTCACCTGTAGTTCTACTTGATTTGGCGGTTGAACGCGGTTGGTGAGAGCAGCTGCGTGAAGGATTTATTACGGGATTTCTGACCCTGTAACTTGATTCGTAACAGCAGCGTTAGTTTTGAACGCTGCTGCTGAGCGGCACACTTTCGCGAGGTGGCCACGTTTCTTACAGCGATTCCAAACATACATCCCAAACACCCACCCTGTCGCCAGTACTGTAATTCACGGTAAGTCACAAAGAACACGTAAGTACGGACACGGGTGTATTGTGTACACGCGGTCAAACTGGTCCGCTTTCGTGGCGGGTAAGCAAACAACTGAGTCACATATCCAGTTAACCCACAGCGCTCACGCGAGCTAACCAATCGGACACACTTCCAAACAGCCTCCCAAGTCGCGGGCTAGATCGATGGTGGAACGACGAACGGACACGCACACGCGCAAACTCTCTGGCACACAGAAGCAGCTACTACAGGGTAGATATCTGTGGACGCAGAACACCGTGAGCAAATGATACTTCCCGGTTGCCTGGGCCGAGGAAGAGAGTTTCGTTGAGATACCTCACCTTGAGCCTTTTACTCAAGAGCCCGACCCACAAGAGAGTAGGAGAATACAGGTTATGTTCGGAGACCCTTACCCTAGGAGCTGGCACAAAATTTTGATCCACAAGGCAGTGAGAGAATGTAGGGTATACTTTGGAGACCCTGCATTGGGCCAACGACTCCAAACTCTCACCTGCCCGGCTACAGGAGGTTGACCTAATCTGATGGCCCAGGGAATAAGATATTATTGTGTCATTCCTGATGCGGCTGTGCAAAGCAGGTGCCTTTTGAGTAGCACCGGGTTCTTTGATTTTAGAAGAATTTCGACCATATTGGACAGCGCGCCGGCGGTCACGGTCAAGCGTGGCGTGATAGGAGTGTGCGGGTTTGGGGCCGAACTTTTCTAACCCACCCTTCTCGGAGGTTGGCCGTATCTCTGCTTCCATAAATATGGACCTGATAGTCGCCTGGGGAAACACCTTAGAGCCTTCACACACCCGTCGGAGAGGACAGTACGACTTTTCCCCCGTAACGTAGCACGATTACTCGTAGTACGGGGTCTCGCTGCTCCTGTTTTGGCTGCTCTGTTTTGGCCTTCCTGGCATGGTTGCATCGTCTGTTCCAGCCAGTATAGCCCGTGGGATCTGTAGCGCACAAGGACCTAAGTTTGTGTGTTCAATCAAAATATCAGATTAGAAATAACAAATGGCGATAAGAAATGGACAAGTGAATGGAACAGACTCACTAAATTGGGGGGTCCAATAATCCCACTACACGAAATGTTGTGCGGTAATCCTATTCGGGGCGAAGAATATATCCAGAGTAAGAAGGATATTCTCCACTGATAGTTCGAGTGTTAGAAACCAATTCCACTGTAGGAAGTTATCACAGCTGAAAATTGTCAGAAGGAGTTATTGTGACGTTCCACAGTCCACACACAAACACAATAATTCAATCCCACGACTTCAGCAAACAGCAATCAGTCCAATCGGATGCAATTTCACTGACTCAGCAAAAAGCAGGGAAGTGGCGCCAAGAAGATGTGTTTTCACCATTTTCGACTTTAATGCAATTATTGGTAATATAAAACAAAATGTCATCATACGTGTACAGTGTTTACAAATTGCGATTCAAGTCTATTATTAAGAGAGTAGAAAATGGGGAAAATGTAACATTGATTTGCAAAACACCACAGATCATGCCTGCACTCAAGCCCGACAACCACATCCGAGTGGCAGCATTAGGTCGGGATAGAGCTTGTACACCAATGTGTGTAGCGGAACACCAATTAACCGTAGGATACAGCTTTTAGATAACGGGAACGGTATATTCACTATTAGAAAGGGAGCATTAGGAGGGCATTTTCTCACATTTACCCAGGAAACAAGTAGGTATCGGTACCCCGTGAAAGAAAAGAAGGATGCACTAATTTTTAGGCTATTGCATGGGTAGCAATTGATCTGCTCATTGTGCTAGGCAGTGTAGGATATTCTTACAAGTTCAAAGGTGATGAGTGTACATTCCTCAAAGCCTCTCCCAATACTCCGATTCAATAGGGTTACGTATTCTTCAAATCGACAGGTCCTTTGTAAACTACTTGGCTAGTTATAATGATATTCAGTTTTTGCAAGTTCTCAATCGTCTCACGGATCCTTAACCAGGTTGGTCATTGCATTTTGAATTCTAGGTGGCGCATTTACCCATTATTCCAAGCTCTGACTTCCGCAGCACTGTTTTATGCAGCACGCGGTGGTCTCACAAGCGTAGCACTTTGCAAGGAATAATGTAGACGGTGATTTCAGAAGACTCCATTTTGGCACACAATTTTGCTGACCTTGAAAATCGAATCAAGACCACGTCCTAGCCCACTCATGTTATTGAACTTCTTGTACTCACCTTGTTGGAGTCCAACAATTTACCCAATCACAGGAAATTGAGCGCTATACGCCCCCTTTGGATGAAGTTATTTGAAGTTTGGATCTAGATCACGAGCCCGTTTTTACCACCCGCCAGATGCCGATCACCACGGATAGGTCACCAATCTCAGGTGCCTCAAAAGGCGAGTGCTGATTACCACATATTAAATGTAGTGCGAAACTTAAGCCTGGAAATTAATCATTTTGCAGTGCACACAACGGGAGCTAGATAGTTTGCTCCATGAGCCACAATTTCAATAAAGCAATTAATTTTATTCGACCCGGCAATAGGCCAGGTTCCGCGTACTGGATTACGTACAATCAATCCACCTCGAANAGTTTCGTTGAGATACCTCACCTTGAGCCTTTTACTCAAGAGCCCGACCCACAAGAGAGTAGGAGAATACAGGGTTATGTTCGGAGACCCTTACCCTAGGAGCTGGCACAAAATTTTGATCCACAAGGCAGTGAGAGAATGTAGGGTATACTTTGGAGACCCTGCATTGGGCCAACGACTCCAAACTCTCACCTGCCCGGCTACAGGAGGTTGACCTAATCTGATGGCCCAGGGAATAAGATATTATTGTGTCATTCCTGATGCGGCTGTGCAAAGCAGGTGCCTTTTGAGCAGCACCGGGTTCTTTGATTTTAGGAGAATTTCGACCATATTGGACAGCGCGCCGGCGGTCACGGCCAAGCGTGGCGTGATAGGAGTGTGTGGCTGTGCAAGGTGCCTTTTGAGCAGCACCGGGTTCTTTGATTTTAGAAGAATTTCGACCATATTGGACAGCGCGCCGGCGGTCACGGTCGGTCATGGCGTGATAGGAGTGTGCGGGTTTGGGGCCGAACTTTTCTAACCCACCCTTCTCGGAGGTTGGCCGTATCTCTGCTTCCATAAATATGGACCTGATAGTCGCCTGGGGAAACACCTTAGAGCCTTCACACACCCGTCGGAGAGGACAGTACGACTTTTCCCCCGTAACGTAGCACGATTACTCGTAGTACGGGGTCTCGCTGCTCCTGTTTTGGCTGCTCTGTTTTGGCCTCCCTGGCATGGTTGCATCGTCTGTTCCAGCCAGTATAGCCCGTGGGATCTGTAGCGCACAAGGACCTAAGTTTGTGTGTTCAATCAAAATATCAGATTAGAAATAACAAATGGCGATAAGAAATGGACAAGTGAATGGAACAGACTCACTAAATTGGGGGGTCCAATAATCCCACTACACGAAATATTGTGCAGTAATCCTATTCGGCGGCGAAGAGTATATCCAGAGTAAGAAGGATATTCCCCACTGATAGTTCGAGTGTTAGAAGTCAATTTCACTGTAGGAAGTTATCACACCTGAAAATTGTCACAAGGAGTTATTGTGACGTTCAACATTTCACACAGAAACACAATAATTCAGTCCCACGACTTCAGCAAACAGCAATCAGTCCAATCGGATGCAATTTCACTGACCCAGCGAAAAGCAGGGAAGTCGCGCCAAGAAGATGTGTATTTTCACCATTTTCGAATTTAATGTAATTATGGGTACAATAAAACAAAATGTCATGATACGTGTACAGTGTTTACAAATTGCGATTCAAGTTTATTATGAAGAGAGTAGAAAATGGGGAAAATGTAACATTGATTTGCAAAACACCACAGATCATGCCTGCACTCAAGCCCGACAACCACATCCGAGTGGCAGCATTAGGTCGGGATAGAGCTTGTACACCAATGTGTGTAGCGGAACACCAATTAACCGTAGGATACAGCTTTTAGATAACGGGAACGGTATATTCACTATTAGAAAGGGAGCATTAGGAGGGCATTTTCTCACATTTACCCAGGAAACAAGTAGGTATCGGTACCCCGTGAAAGAAAAGAAGGATGCACTAATTTTTAGGCTATTGCATGGGTAGCAATTGATCTGCTCATTGTGCTAGGCAGTGTGGGATATTCTTACAAGTTCAAAGGTGATGAGTGTACATTATACATCAAAACAATAAAAATCAGGTTCCGATCTAGTGAGATGTACCCAATTTGCACGTTGGTTAGCTAATAAACCATTTATTTTTTTCCAAAAGAAGCGGCAGCTGAAAATCAGACAGAATCATGTAAGTGTACATTTGTCTGCCTTTTTGAAAATGGTGAGCAGGTGACACGAAGGTCAGATATGAGTCCTGTGGGAGTGACTAAGACATATCTGACGAACACCCTTCTGGTTAGCTCAGTTGGTCACACGGTTACACAAACCGTTACACAAATTTAGATCCTGTCTTTTTGGGTAGAAAATTGGCTACAAGCTGTTGACCAGAGGTGTGATTAGCCCGCACTCACGTCACGTGAACACATGTTACCGCCGGAAAGGTCAATGCTCACGCACAAATACAAAATTGACAATACGCGCATCACTTGCCACTATTGACAGAATTGTGTGAACACAAACCTTTCGCGTGGTCACGTTTCCTCGGTGCATTCATTTCCATATTATATTGCAGCTTGTATAGTTTCACGCCCGTTCTGTCGTGTGGGTGAGCTGGGGCTAAGCAATCGATCGAAGTTTTGCTCGTGTGTGCACTCATCACCAGTGCTACGGCAATGTGTATCCCGGGATTCCACCTGTGCACATCTGAGATAAGAGACGAGCGTGATAGCACTAGTTCGTTAGCACGCACTATACTCACATGAATTTTTACGTTTGAGTAGAGGAATGTGTTTGGGCCTGATCGAACGAAAATATAGACAAATCTGTAGGAGTGTTTGGTTCTTCCGATTGACCGTTTCGCTGGAGAATAGACTGAATGATACAATAGGTGAGCAACCACGTTTGCATGAATACCCAGTTTCTTGATGGAAGCTCACTTAGCAGATAAACTAAAACAACGCACCAGTACATCAAAGCAAGTACATCATTTTAGAAAGTGCTTCTTAAGTCACCATCATTTAATGCAAGGTGTATGCCATTACACAAGATGTCATTGGCAGCTCACGCACAGGGTCACCTAGTTAAATTGCATTCACGAAAAACCAGAAGGCCTGTACAAAAGGCCTGTACGAATACAGTCCCTCGACAGTTTCAGCGGCACTGATTTCATTTACGGATAGCTCTCTCCCTTTTAACGCGTGATTCGTATGCAGGCGCTACGCGTGCACCCAAGCAGCAGGATAGTTGAGTTGGCGACTAAAACTAACATTGCTCTGGTTTACTATGAGGCTAGCAAATATGTCATGTGTTTGACAAAAGAATGCTGTGACACACAAGACATATAAGTACTTGAGGCAATTGCGCATACTATTAATCTGAACAAACAATGACGTACAAACAATTGTTTGTACTGCGCTTCGTTTTCGGATTCATAGGCGAGGAAATTTGCTGAGGAGCAAGTCTTGCAATATTTATTAAGTTTGTTTGAACAAAATTTTGTTGTCACCTCACATTTTACTTTACAACAATATGAATTGTAATAGCACAATGCTAGTGTCACTAATATACCATACTATTTTTAATAAATACCTTTTATTAGCACCGCCGGATACACTGTACACCAAAACACTAAAAATCAGGTTCCGATCTAGTGAGATGTGTCCAATTTGCACGTTGGTTAGGTAATAAACCATACATTTTTTCCAAAAAAAGCGGCAGCTGAAAATCAGACAGAATCATGTAAGTGTACATTTGTCTGCCTTTTTGAAAATGGTGAGCAGGTGACACGAAGGTCAGATGTGAGTCCAGCAGCAAAACTCGCAATACGAGGGCATACCACGACTGTATAAAAAATAAAACAAAGCTGTTAGGGAAACGTTTGTGGCTAATTGAAGATTAGATTTGCAGAAAACTTTCCGAAATTCAGAATCACAATGGTGCAGCACATTATTGATTTATCTGATATAAAATTGTTGATAGCGTAATTGAACGTTTCTTTACAATTTCAAAACAACATCTATTGTCAGCAGAACAATTGATGGGAATGTGTGACTTTATGGATTAATAATCGGTGGCATTGGTATTAAATCGTAATTGAAAATGTTCGCCTGTTATCTCGCGCATTCACAACTCTAGAGTCTCCACTGAAAGCGAGGAATTTGTAACCCAAATGTTTAGCTCATCAGAACCTGATACTGCGTTTGTTGCCAAAACCACTGAATGCCTTATTGTCCCCATCAATGATATTTAATTAAGGACATTTCCGTGAGCCCACATAATTACAGTCGGCCAAAAATTAACGTGTGGAAAGGCTTTATTTAAATTTAGTGAAAAATAAACGTTGAGTTTGCTATCGATGAAAAATGAGTAGAAAATATACTGACTGTCTGGAGTCTTGTAAAGAAATCTAAAATTCTGAGGTTGGAGAATCTCAAGGTGCACACGCTTGAATATACGCCTATATATTTGAATATTATCAAACTTGCTGATACCCAAACAACCGCCAAATGTGCTTGCCCATTTGTGCGTGAATGATATCAGTGACTACCAACGCATACAAACACAGCGCACTTAGTTCAGCCACCAAGTTGAACTAACTATACAATCACGCCATTTTCTCACACAAACTGCGCGTGAGAGCCATCGTTATCCCATTCCTGACAAGCTACGGCATAAATGTCACGTGAATACCAAAATAGTCCGCTGCATCAGGCTATATTCAGGCTCTTTTTAAGGCTGTTTCTGTTCAAGTTTATTGTGCACATTATCTTTTTATTGCACTCCACCACATGTGACGTGCTCAAGTTCAAAAATGTGTGTTTGATGGCGAGCCTTACATTCAGCTTTCTTCCAGAGAATTTATTGTTATTCATGTTTTTAAATGTTGCACTGTCCAAGCTGAGTTCGAATGTCCACGATTTTAAGGAACTACTGCTGAAAAATGCTCCCATCACTTTTGCTTTGCTTCTTGTCATAAACAAACTTTAATTTGATGCATACAAACACAGCGCACTTAGTTCAGCCACCAAGTTGAACTAACTATACAATCACGCCATTTTCTCACACAAACTGCGCGTGAGAGCCATCGTTATCCCATTCCTGACAAGCTACGGCATAAATGTCACGTGAATACCAAAATAGTCCGCTGCATCAGGCTATATTCAGGCTCTTTTTAAGGCTGTTTCTGTTCAAGTTTATTGTGCACATTATCTTTTTATTGCACTCCACCACATGTGACGTGCTCAAGTTCAAAAATGTGTGTTTGACGGCGAGCCTTACATTCAGCTTTCTTAGTTAAAAGTAGATAGAATATTTAATGAGCAAGGGGTTGTTTGGCCTCGCTCGGTATGCAGTGCAACAGTCAATGTTTAGAGAATGCACAATACCCTCATTGACGGTTGATAAATAATAACAAAAAAGTGGGTTATGTGGCAATGAATTGAAGAAAATCACGTAAAAATTTAAATACTTTCGAGCTTACTGCGGTATATCAAGTAAGCGAAAATTGCAGTGTACAAGCTGCCCACTCATTGTTTAGAATCGCCGTTTCCCAAAAAAAGTGGGATTCCAGAGGCTTGGTTTACACAAGTTACCGGCTTTGCGTTGCTCCCTAACCTTACCGATTAACTGGAATTTTTACCCAAATATTCAATTAGGTGTCACAGTTTTCCAAATACAAATGATGAGTTTACTCTATTTATGGACCCATGTTCTAATTCGCTGAAACTGCTTGCTGTTAAACTGGCAGTAAACAAATTTTTAAAATTACCGTTATCAAATAAAGCTTTTCAGCAAACTGGATTTTCGGAAAAGTTACCAGCATCCACAAAACCACGCTGATCTGTAGTGCTTTTTCTCTGGTGCGCGATTTTGTAAAATTTTACCGATGCGTCAGGGGTTTCCGTTCACCTCTTACAATGTGATCTACAAAACACAGCGCGTACGTTAATGCTGATTACGAAGTCATGTTTTCAGGCTGCCGTTTTAAGTTGGCTTTCTCCAATTTTTATTCGACAGGGTTTGAGTAGTAGTGCCGTCTTGTGTCATAGTCAGTTATGTTGGCGTCTATCCCCATTTGTCTCTCATTGTAACTAGTGATCAAATGTCCCACTAGTGGTAAGTTGCGTCGGGGAAAATAAATCCGCCTAATTTCTTTCAAGAGATGCAGATGTTTTGATAAGCGCTGCGCCCTGAATACCGGCATTTTGTCCCCATTCCTGAATGTTCTTACATCCAATTATGTGACCTTCCTTTCTTCCAATCAAGGGAAGAAATATACAACCGGAAACGGATTGTCGATCGGCAGTGCTGCAAAGTGGTTCGCATTACGGCGTTCCGCACATGGAAACCGCATCCCTAGGCGTACAGTGTGTAAAGTCCAACTCAGCAATCAGTCACAAAATAATGGTCATTTTTGAAATCGCTAGGTATACCAAATGCATTTCAGTGTGATAGCTTCCTGCTCACTAGCCGAGTGCTATGGGATATTCACCCTCTAAAGAAACGTCAATGCGTAGAATTTAAGAAGCCCCCTCCAAGTACAACGGTTTGGTCCAAATTTTGGCAACGTAATGCTTCATAGCGATACAGAAACAAAGGGATAAGAGCTTTTATTGCCTCTTCGTTTGGAATGAACACGAAAGCAATTTTTCAGCATTTCCCAAGGATAACAGCCAAATATCATTGTGAAACATGAATATTCGGTCAGGTGGAAATCTTGGCCACTTACGGTAATTTGGCGCGCACTACCCATTGTGTATTGCCTACTCAATAACTGAAGCGTAAACCAATTGATGTATTGTGAAAATTTAATGATCAAAGCAGTTACAAACCTTGCATTGAGTTTGCTTATAATTTAAAGCACTTCCTAACACACGATGATATCCATAATGACTAGGTGTACTTCTACGCGCGAAATATATAATTTGGCGCTCTTAGCTACAAAAATACTAGTCTAAATGTTGAGGTAGACAGTGTGAAACGTCTATCTTACAGAAATTTCATTCAAGCCGAACTCAAAAGCACTAGCTGCTCAATGTGTGAGCAGTCGTAATCATTATCGCCTATTAGGGATGTCGAAAAGTACAGATATGCATGTCTTTCACGCTCATAAACAGATCGTCCAAAGTCTACGCGCAATTGTCCAATTGTGTAAGCCGAAGTATCAAATGACTGAAACATGATTCGTGCGATAGAAGGCAACGTCGATTGCAAAATGATTCGTGGATAGAAGGCAACGTCAATTGCAAAAGTGAAAAGCTGCAGAACCGACGGATTCAGAGCATTATACCCCATCATCCGCTTTCAGTATACGTGGAGAAGTGCCATCTATCTGGCCCAGAGTTTAAGCCCTAATAATACTCAAGTTGGTGTCAATGTTTTGCAGGCAGTCACGGTTTCCCGACTGCTTGTCTCCCACCTTCATATGACCTGCAATTCTATGTCCACTTTTTCGGGTGCCCGCGCATTGACATTTTTCGTCGATGAACATGCGACAGTTTTTAACTGGTGATTCCTATTAGGCTTGTATATTTCGCCCACTGCGTCTGAAAAATGCACTGCTTCATGCTTGAAGATATGCACCATCTGGAAGAATGCAGTCGGTAAAACATCGTTAAATTTTATCGAAAACCTTATCCTCAAAGCGCGGAGGATAATATCATTCGAAATAGATTATTTCAACGGAAACCAAAATTTTCACGGGTTGGTCTCTGTTGAAGTCTCTCACAGTGCGCTCCCCTGATTCGCTGCTTCGCAGATCATTTGAGTTGAAGCCCTATCTGTATTGTTTGTGAGCCCTCATTTTCAAAATACGCATACCGAAATTACGACATCTGATGTTCTTTTACTTTCGAATAAACACGCTCTTCATTTCAACATGAGTGCCGGCAGAGACTATGCCTAGTTGCGCCACACTGCATTATCATCGGAGAAAATAGGATTCCTGGGCTACATTATTTTTTAAATGTGTTACTTACCATTTAAAGTGGATAACAGGAATAGAAGATTGGAAAGACCGTGAGTTCAGCATTTTTCTCACTGAAGTTTAATGATCTGAGTAGCCGAAATCGTTGACATGCTTATGTTTTTTACGCAGATCATTCAAAAATGCAGAATGCTAGCACCATGTATTAGACTAGACCCCACGCACCTCCATCCGTAATTAGGAATTTCGCAGATATGCATCTAATCTACTGCTTTCACCCAATTTTGTCACTTTCGTACGTGTAAATCGTGTTGAAAAAACAGCAACAATGATTTCGATTAGAACAACTTGTCGAAATCTGCAGCTAATTAGGTCGATATTATAATGTTTCCATGTGTTCAATGATTGTTCTTATTATCCAATAGCTATTGCTCATATACATCGAATTCTCATGTAAAGGATGTGTTGCTATGACAAGCGCGAAACACAATGCACCCTGCAAATCATTCAAGCGCTTGATGCAAATATCAACCCACCAGCAAGCATTCATTCGTTTGTGCAGGACTTGGTGCCATAAATAAGCACCACATCCTAAGGCAGAGCTTTTCTGCTTGAATGGATGTTCATGATTAGCCTATTCATTCACACCAAACTCAAAACGAATATCAAGTCAGAACATACGCTGACTGGATTTAACCTAACAAATCATTATATAAAACAATGTTTGTCACCAAGTGGTGTAACCAACACACATCACTTGCCTAGTGCAGCAAACCCCATGTATGGTTTGTTACGAACGTATTTTGTCTAGTCGATTATTGCAGCGTTCATCCAAAAGTGGTTCCATCTCCATTATCAGCTTTTCCTTCTGTTAGATGGGCAATTAAATCAGTGTTTATCGATGGGTAAGTCGTTTTCCCATTTGCTTGTGGCAGATAGGAAAAAAACAGTGAATGTTTATGAGTTCTCCAGATCATCTAAAGTTGAAAATTGATTTACCTAATTAAGGCGGCCGCAATAATTACGGAGCCAATAGCACACGACGTGTATAAGTTTGCCAGGAACATGCAGCTTTTTTAAAGCCCGCTTGATTTTTGCAATGCCCCAGGTCAGCAACGTTCATTTCGCAGATCACACTTACAAAAGGGCCTCTGTGGTAATCTGTGACGGATTGTTTCCAAACATTAAAAAACTTGTGTTAAGCTAAGAAGGCGAGCCAGAAGGGTGTATTTCAATGGAAAATTCATGCCGCAGAGACCAGCGTGCTAAGTTTTAGACATTTTAAAAAGGAAAAAAGCCTGCGTTTTGGGATACTCGGTCAAGGTCTAATGTGTAATCTATCGACACAATAAATGCTCATCGTTTTGGTCGTGCGAAGCTGTGGGAGTGTTGATACTGGTTGTGTCACAAGATGGTTGGGAATAATTTTCACTGTCCACTTTTACGTAAAAGTACTTAGATATTTTGGTTGTTTTTGAATTTTGCTACGACGTGACTAGAACCTCACGCATGTCAGAATGTGTAAAGGAGAGGTGGTCGACATAATGAAGTGTTTGCCACTTACATTGACCAAGTGATGACGTGTTTTGTAACGGGTAAGTGATGTTTTGCTGTGGATAAATACAAAACGACAAAAATGTCAATTAAATATAATGTTTTCACTACGTTAGATTGAACGTAAAACGTTGTGTATGACAACTTATGTAACAACACTATCGATTTTGTTCTTTCGTTGTCGTCTCCTGAATTAATAGCCCAATAGTGCACCGTCCATCTGGCTTGACGGCAAAACTAAAATTATGCTGAAGCCCACCATTCAAGACCTTTTGTGTTCCTCCTTTAGCACCTTCTTACGCACATACCGCTGTTTTTATTGAAAAAATAATTTCCGAGTCCGGAGCAAATTAAGACTAACTATTATAATTTGGTAAATGAACGGAAATAGCTCATAGGCATCACAATATGAAGGAATCATTTGTGCGGGTGGATTTATGTACACAGTAAAAACTAGCAACTTGCGTATAAATCTGCAGCGAAATGAAAAAAAAGTTATGTATTTGCTGGGTGAGCGGATATGTATAACATGAATAGGTTAAGCGAGGGCACACACACGTTATCGCGGAGAAAATTGAGGAATAATTTCACATGTCAGGCCTCTCATAATAAATAAACGATAAGGGACAAAAAACACGTGAAAAAAGTTTGGAAAACGCGTTTTTTTGAGCAGCATAATTTGGTGGTGGTTAAACCCAGATCCTCTTTGGTCAGTTTGCTGAAAGTTTAGGACACCACACAGGCGGCAAGAGCTGCTGCATTGTTAATGCGCAGACAAAATTCGCGGCAGCGCGCATCTTGTGACAGAATGCGAACGTTGAGGGAGGAAAATTAAATTAATTGTTAGCAGAAAAATTCATTGATGAGTTCAAATTTCAACAGGGAAAACCAGAATTTTAAAAATTTATTTGTTACAGATAGGAATATATATACATCATTTTTATTCTGACCCCAGCCTACACAAGACAAAGCAAATATGATATAGCTACGCGCCTTTTAATTGGCTGCACACTTGATGAATAAGCCCGCCTCCCACGTTGGTTTGCCTCCAAAAACCCAAGTGGTAATATGCCTAGAAAGAGGTGAGTTTCCTTCGCGATTTGATCCTACGCTTCTAAGAGAATCCGTGCAGGTCGTTTCTGGTTAATTTGCTGCTCGCAGCTTCGCACTGCGGGCATAATCAAAGGACTGCGAGCATAATCAAAGGACTTGTAGGCAAATTAAGCACGTCTCTTGCAACAAATGAAGTTTCTCCTCTGAATAGTATTTGCAGAGAGCGACTAAAACCCAACATAATTGCGAATATGCATATGGTTTGCCATTCCATTGTTTTCGCACTCAAATCATCGTGATGGGAATATTACTTTGATTCTTGTTCGTTGAACTTCCTAGAGATGTGAAACGTGGCAAACCACTCAACGGCGGTGTAGAAGACCGTTAAGGTGGTTAACCGACCTGCTCTTTTCCTCCAAATTGTGCTCATCGTTTGTGTTCAAAAGACTGTAGGTTTTCTTTTTTTAAAAAAGACTACTACATCAATAAATTACATTTTATCATTATGGGGCTGCCAAAAAAAATCTCGTGTGAACTTCTGTAGCGTTGTTGAAATGAATTCTCGTACCCATAAATATAATGGACTATTTCTGAGTACCCGTCAAAAGAGTGACACCATTTTCACTCCTATATTGACAAAGCGGATGAATGCTGGCAGTCCAGTAAGATTTTCCCTTCTAAATATCTCGTTTCGTAACACGTGCTTGTGTGTGAAATATTACCTTACACAACTTTCTGGCATTACGCAAATCATGAACAAAATTACTCCGAAAGCTGGTGAGTCTCAGTCATGCCATACTTATGGGTTACCAGCACCCTCTAGCACAGGCACCAAAGGAGGAGAAAGATTCATACAGCAAAAAACGCATCATGATAAAATTCTGAACTAACTTTAGCCCTAGCTTTCTGACTCGCCTGACCCAATTGCAGACCAAAGCTAAGCGTGTGATCACGGAGTTTTGAAAAATAGTCAAATTTTTTTGATCTTTCGGAACAAAACGGGTAACTGTAGGACTATGGCAATTGAAACCAGATGCTTTCTACCCCTAGTGATAGGCACTAGTGCAACTGACTTGGACGAGTTTTAGACGTCACATAAGCAACGCTTATTGAGCGCTGGAGATGCGGTATTTTAGGGTGATTCATCTGTGTTTAATACAAAATATTTCTACACTAACCGCCGAATTGTTGCGAGAAGCGGAATGTTTGAAGTGAACTGTCCGAGCGTGAATTACTAGCGCAATGCTTATATTTGAGTATATTTCGGAGTTGAAAGGAACCCAGATAAAATGGATCGCTTGATTAAAGCCTGTTGTTTATGTGCGCATTTATTTACGTATTAGCCTACAGTCTACAATTTGCAATTTTGAAAAGAGTCTGTCCCAAGCCGGAGTACATTATTCCTCTAGGGATAGAGCGATGCGGGCGGACCAAGTCAAACGGCGAATCTGAAACGGTTTTCTTGGTAACCTCAATTGTTCCTTCTCCAAATGTCCGAATCCTAGCTAAGCGAGCGAACAAACAGACAAATAATGCTCGGTCGTGTCTGGGATAATTTTTCAATAGTTTTCTCAACTCTATTCTAGGAGTCCGCCGCTGCGTCTCAGTTTCTATTTGTCTAACTTAAAAGTAAATAGACAACCCTATCTTCTACGTTGCGTACTGCGCGTAGCCCTAAAGCCCAATACCATGAAACGTTCACGGCCAACTCTGCTTGACTGGCGACACCAGTACGACTTTAGTGTTACCACGTGGCCCGATTTCGAGACTGTATGAACGTTTTTCTGCAATGCTCCTCTTGACACTGGTAGACAAATGAAATGTCAGAAGCCACTCAGCCTCATGAATACTTACCAATTATAATTCAATTTGATTTGCCACGTCACTACAATACTGCACATTCTTTGGATTTCATATCACGTGATTTGAAGGATGGTCTAGTAAACTCTTTTCTTGTTTTCTTTTGCCCACCGTTTTGAAATTTCATCGGCCCGTTTTCGCTTCAAGTTGACATGTTACCTTTAATCTGGAAAAACCGTACTTAATTGCGAAACTCTCCTCTAGATGTTCACCGGTTTAGATTGTGTCCGTTTTGATTCTCCCTGATTTATTTAAACACATCCGCTTCCAGAACCCACAGATTCCATCAGCTATTATTTTGTTCTTGCGGTACCGTAAAGATCGCGCTGACTCACGGAACATGAAACATTTACTGGATAAAAATCAGACATGCGATTGGGCCAACGGGGAATTATTTTGCATTGTGAAATTTGGGAATTTTTTCACAACGTATTACTGCAAACCGAAAAAAGCTGGTGAGTATAACCTGCTTGCTAGAAAATGAATGAGACAAATATTTTGTGGACTGAACTCATAATGACAACCGTTGATAATAGAGGGAAATCTGGGGAGCGACATGAGATTTTCGACGAAATCATTACAAGTACCAAAGCAGTTTTAAGTGAGTAAACTATCACGCATGCGATCCTATTTTTTTCTTAGGGGTACCTTGAATTATACAAAATTAGAAAACGTGCTTGCATAAATATTGGTCGCTATTTTCATTCAAGTACATAAACTACAGAAGGCGTGATGACGCTGTGAGCTAGATGCTTGGCTATTAGAGCTATTGTAACATAAATCCCATAAACCGCATTCAAAACGCCAAACGTGTGGAAACGTAAGTGACCAGATGTCTTCTCTAATTGCATGAAATTCTTGGGCATGGCTCTCAGTTAAATTCCAGACTATTCATCAGACAGGTGCTTGTAAGCGTAGTTGGATTTCCGATGGTCTAGTATAAATAATAAATTTAATCGCAGGAACTGACTGCAGAAATGCGAACAGAGAACCGCGCGGTCATATGTCTAAGCACAACGTTTCACTCCTCCACGCTTCACTGCGAGCCTAAAACTCTATGCAAGATACATGTGTGGCTGGATATTTTTTCATGTATATGAAGTACTCCCGCGGTTTTATAACCTATTAAGCAGATGTTCTGAAACAGTGAAGTCCATAGTTACTTTTGATATATAGTCGATATACGAGCAGATCCTTACGGTGGGCATCTCAAACGCTACCTTTTGAGACAAAAATTAAGTGCACGCTTCCGGAGCATCATTGTGTGTCGTATGTCTTTACCAATATATCAAAAGTACTGCAACAGGGCAGCAATTCGGTTCAATAAAATGCATACTAGCTTCCTGAAACCAACAAGGTCACGGCCTCCAAAATATTAGCTTACTGGTTAAGTGCAGGCTTTTTCCCACTTTTTCTTGTACATGCGTCCTTATTATGTGCCCATGGTCTCCTGTTATAAAATACTCGGTTGGCATAAAAAAGTGGGTATGTGTGCTTATTTGTTGTCCATATTTCACTCCATTTCGTTCAGTCATCAGTGCTATAAAAATGTACACCCGGGTGTTATCTATAAATATTCATTATTATCCCTGGAAATTGAACTCGAGTAGTTACCATAAATAATCATCGAATTACGAATAAAATTTACTGCTTCAACTATTCAACCCAAGCAATTGGATGTCTAACAAAAGGTGAGGTTTTCTTATCAATATATTTTTATTATTGTAAAGCATGCTTTACATGATATAAGAAGCATACATGAAACAACCAAAGGATGCTTTTTTCGGTTGATTCTTAGCAGGTAATTTTGTGCTTCTAAAACATAAGCTGCTCTCAGGGGTCACCCGGGTCAACGAAATTATTCATATTCGACGTATTCAGCATGCGATGAATTGCTCATCTCAGAATACCATGGATTATACATAGTGGATACCGACAGAAGGATATTTTCTATAAGGGAAAGTATCGCAGTGCGGACAAGAAGATACGCGTTGCATATGAGACCAAGAACGATTATGACAAGCACGGTTCATGAGTATGGAACATCTTGACAGCTACAGAATTCGTTAGGGGAAATCTATATTACACTGCATACGTATCAACATGCCTTCAAACTTTCAAAAAGATAAATTGTGAACTGATTAATATGTACGTATACTTGACTCATCCTCGACGACTATAGCGATGACAAAACGTAAGGAGAACCGTTGTAGGGATACAATTTCACATGCAAATACACTATATTTAAACAAGCTTTATTCCAATACAGTTTGCATCGCTGCAACATTGCACCACGGGTCATCGTTGCTCTGAAACATTGTTCCATTACGCCTTGCATGCGAAACTGGAGATTTGATCCTTCTTACGTTTGATGAGGAGAGTTTTATGCATTGACTCACTTTTTAGCTCCCAAAACGTTCGATCCGACGGACCTTCGTAAAACTTTCAATGATCAGCAGCAAGCAACTGTATTCAAAATAGAGACCTATGGATTGATACGAAAACTTCAATTTCCCGAGCAAATTTTGTACATTCTTTGGAGAAACGGGTACTAGTAAAT